CATGAAATCCGACTTAACAGACCTGTTATTCTGTATGTATAAAAAAAAATGAAAAGATGACCTCCAGTAATAATATCTCAAATGAACGACGTCGTGCTTTGGAAAGTTATTCAAATGTTTTTTTTTTTGTTGTTTTCCAAAGGATATGTTTATTTCTCAAATACCCATGGGAATGTGTTCAGGAGGGATGTTGGATTCCAAAACATCTGCATCAATTAGCTCAAGTTTGAGGTTTATACGACATATTTCCTTAAAATGGGAATGTGAAAGCTATACAACAGGCTTTAGGTACAGAATGTGTCATCTCATTTAGTTAGGTGTGTTAGAGCAATAAGAATATATGTAAGAATATATTAATACTATGTATTAATGTACTATGTAGTAGCGGTACTTTGCAATGATAGAATTAGGCTACATTTATACTTTCCAAGTAATTCATTTTATAAACTTTGAGAAAATGAACTTCACAAGATTGACATAGTCTTCATTTTAATCCAGAAATGTTGTCATGTATTCTAAAACTGACTTTCAGTAAGTGATTTAACTTTAAAGATGAATTATTTGCTCCTTATTCAAATCATTGGCAGGAAGCTCTGAACAAACCACAGAGTTTATTAAACAGTGTTTCAAAACAGACAGTAAGCCTTATCAAAGAAGATTTCAATTGAAATATTTACATTACTCATATTCTTGTGTCAAACAATTCACAAATATTCTGGGGACCCCCAAGCTATGGTTCGCGGACCCCACTTTGAGAATCACTGTGTTAGAGGTTCTAAAACCTGCTGCATTAAAAAGGCAGTACGCCTGCATAACACAACAAACAAAAGGGTTTTTTAAAACACCACTGTTTCTTTAATAAGTGTTGCCGTGTTCTGAAGGGACTGAAATCAGACAGAATTGCAAACTCATGACACTCAGTTAGCATTTTCTTGGTGGAGTTGGCTTGACCCAGACATGGGCACAGTGCTTTTCAACAAACATTACTAAAACAACTGTGACTTTTCTTTTTAAATTAATAATTTAGATTCATATTATTAAGGCAGTAACAATCATTTCCAAATTTAAGTGTGTATCTTCTTGAGGTTTCTGTCTGTTAGAAAGATCGTTCTTCTCTTGGCCACTGTTGCTTCCTCATGGTGGGAATCTTTGGATCTTATCTTAGTATATTATAATTCAGAGAGTACCATCAGTTTAAATCTGCTTTCCATGAAAAGTAATAATAATAATACAGAGGTTTCATATAGCGCTTTTCTGAAAACTCAAAGACGCTTTGACAAAAACATAAAACAATAAAACAAAACAAAAACAATGAGGACATTACAACAAAGAAGTAATGTGTGTGTGTGTGTGTGTGTGTGTAGAAAAGATAGTGTTTTGACTGGAACTCTGAATAGAACAAAAGGAAACATGCTTTGACTGCAGGGAGGACACCCATTCGTCTGATGAAATCATGCTTCATGACATTTGTTGACAGTTGGAAAACAAACTATTATTGTTTTAAGTAATAACATACCTGAACTATATACACCTCTTCTCTGGAGTTGCACCAGATTTCAAACTTCTTGTGGTCTCCCTTTGCATTCTCAGTAATGCCGACGGCACTCATCTGTTCAAATGGAAAGCAGGGTACGGATGTTAAAGCGGTGTGAGAGAGACAAATGCAGAGAAATCGTCGACATTGCCGCATCAGAGGTGCTCACACTCAGAGACTGCTTGAAGCTGTATGATGGAGCTTTCTCGTAGCCCTCGCCGTTCTCCTCCCTCCTCTTGCAGAAGATCAGGGCCTTTTCGTGGAGGAAGATGTGCCTCTGCATGGGTTTGAAACGGGCCAGATCCTTCACCTTGGCGTGACCTTTCTTGTGCTCCGTCCACACGCTAAATGACCCCTGCATTAGCAGCTTACCCAGCTCACTCATGTTCCCCTGAGGAGAGAGAGAGCAGAGCTGACCGATCACATACTTCACATAATCAAATAAACTTTATGGAGGCTATAAATTTATGTTTTTTATTACCCAATAACTGTTACATTTAATGTTTCTGTTATTTGTCTGGTCTTTTGTTAATCCAGATTTCCTGGATCTAAATAATGTCACCACATACATATTTATGGAAACAGCTGCTCTAAATGAAAATGTTAATTCTCATAAATATAAGGAGTCTGTCTCGAGTAAAGCTTGAGTCTGTCTTTCATTTTTACCTCATTAGCCTATAAACAATATCATTTCTGCAATTCCCTGATTCCAGTTAAATGTCTCACCTCGTATCCTGTGATGGCGATGAGATGCATTGAGTCATTAACAGCCTTAAGGATGCCTAAGATGGAGGTGAGCGCCTCCTGCAGGTCATCAGCCCCCTCACAGCTCTTACTGTACTTCAGCATTTCCTGTCGACAGAAACTCAGTTAATCAGCTCAGAGCAATTGCTAAGTGATGCTAAGGGTGAGATGCTCACATACTGTCTCTGATAATCTCTTACTGCTGTGTCTCAAAGGTCAAAGGTATCTTTCATGTCCCCACAGGGTGACGGGTTTGTCGCTGGAGATATACATAGGACTACAACATGAATAGAAAATCCCCAAACAATGACTACATAAATGGACAAGGAAAAGAGGACTCAAACTCGAGTGTAACAAATTCATCACCTCCAGTTTGATAAGCCACAGAAAAGACAAAAAAGTGAAAATCTGGAGGCACATCATGTTCAGGGTAAATCGACATGTTTGGTTAATAATAAGCTACTCGCTAGATAGTGAGTCAGAGCTACTGTTAGCAACAAGCTACTCGCTAGATAGTGAGTCAGAGCTACTGTTAGCAACAAGCTACTCAATAAATAGTGAGTCAGAACTACTGTTAGCAACAAGCTACTAACGAGATAGTGAGTCAGAGCTACTGTTAGCAACAAGCTACTAACTAGATAGTGAGTCAGAACTACTGTTAGCAACAAGCTACTCAATAGATAGCGAGTCAGAGCTACTGTTAGTATCAAGCTACTCAATAGATAGTGAGTCACTACTGTTAGCAACAAGCTACTCAATAGATAGTGAGTCACTACTGTTAGCAACAAGCTACTCAATAGATAGTGAGTCAGAGCTACTGTTAGCAACAAGCTATTCAATAGATAGTGAGTCAGAGCTACTGTTAGCAACAAGCTACTGACCAGATAGTGAGTCAGAGCTACTGTTAGCATCAAGCTACTCAATAGCTAGTGAGTCAGAGCTACTGTTAGCAACAAGCTACTCAATAGATAGTGAGTCAGAGCTACTGTTAGCATCAAGCTACTCAATAGATAGTGAGTCAGAGCTACTGTTAGCAACAAGCTACTCAATAGACAGTGAGTCAGAGCTACTGTTAGCAACAAGCTACTCAATAGATAGTGAGTCAGAGCTACTGTTAGCAACAAGCTACTCAATAGATAGTGAGTCAGGGCTACTGTTAGCAACAAGCTACTCAATAAATAGTGAGTCAGAGCTACTGTTAGCAACAAGCTACTAACTAGATAGTGAGTCAGAACTACTGTTAGCAACAAGCTACTAACGAGATAGTGAGTCAGAACTACTGTTAGCAACAAGCTACTCAATAGCTAGTGAGTCAGAGCTACTGTTAGCATCAAGCTACTGACCAGATAGTGAGTCAGAGCTACTGTTAGCATCAAGCTACTCAATAGCTAGTGAGTCAGAGCTACTGTTAGCAACAAGCTACTCAATAGATAGTGAGTCAGAGCTACTGTTAGCATCAAGCTACTCAATAGATAGTGAGTCAGAGCTACTGTTAGCAACAAGCTACTCAATAGATAGTGAGTCAGAGCTACTGTTAGCAACAAGCTACTCAATAGATAGTGAGTCAGAACTACTGTTAGCATCAAGCTACTCAATAGACAGTGAGTCAGAGCTACTGTTAGCAACAAGCTACTGACTAGATAGTGAGTCAGAGCTACTGTTAGCATCAAGCTACTCAATAGACAGTGAGTCAGAGCTACTGTTAGCAACAAGCTACTCGCTAGATAGTGAGTCAGAGCTACTGTTAGCAACAAGCTACTCAATAGATAGTGAGTCAGAGCTACTGTTAGCAACAAGCTACTCAATAGATAGGGAGTCAGAGCTACTGTTAGCAACAAGCTACTCGCTAGATAGGGAGTCAGAACTACTGTTAGCAACAAGCTACTCAATAGATAGCGAGTCAGAGCTACTGTTAGTATCAAGCTACTCAATAGATAGTGAGTCAGAGCTACTGTTAGTATCAAGCTACTCAATAGATAGTGAGTCAGAGCTACTGTTAGCAACAAGCTACTCAATAGATAGTGAGTCAGAACTACTGTTAGCATCAAGCTACTCAATAGACAGTGAGTCAGAGCTACTGTTAGCAACAAGCTACTGACTAGATAGTGAGTCAGAGCTACTGTTAGCATCAAGCTACTCAATAGATAGTGAGTCAGAGCTACTGTTAGCAACAAGCTACTGACTAGATAACATTCCTGTCTGCTACGTAGTGGCTATAAGCTAATTAGCCGACTTGTAATTTAACGTTAAAAGAGGTTTAATTCATAACTTAATTAATCCTAACGTGTTGTTACAGTGCTTAGATGCATCAATTGTTTTTTTTTTTTTTTGTTTTTTTTTGACCAACTGTTTATTTATTTTGACAGCCTTTACAGGTGTATATCATCCAATAAATTCATTAGGTAGTAATTCATACATCCATTTCATTGTCATAATTACAATGCAAAAATAAAATATTTTTTTTATTGACAACACAACCCTGCAAACCTGGAGTTTTCATAGTTTTTTTTTTTTTTTTTCGCTCATTTAGGATAATTTCCTGGGGCTCAATAAAGTACTATCCTATCCTAATTGCTCTAATGACAAGGCTTAATTTATACAATTAACAATTGCTAGATTACAACAGACTTAAAGCTCCCCAAGATGAAGTCACGTCCAAGGAAAATGGCTACTGTTAGAATACAGTAAAAAGCTGAATAAGAGAAATTCTCATAAAAAAGACAATTTATCAGTCCATACATGATGTCATACCTTCAGTAGCAGCTGATATTTGGTAATCCTCTGAACAGGCTTCAGCAGATAGGAGTCTAAACCCAGTTTATGCTCCAGCTTTTTCTGACACTCCTGATTAGAAAAAAAACAAAAAAACTGGGTTAAATAAAAACAAGTAAAGAAAATCCACTTTAAAAACTTGAAGCATGCTGAGGTTGTGTTCACCTGGAAGAAGGCACAGTCTGAACACTGCCTCCAAAGGCTTTCAGAGCGAGGCTTGTTGTGGCAGTACTTCTCATAGATCTGCAGGTCTGTCATCTATAAAGAGGCAGTGAAAACAATTTTCATAAAAATAAATAAATAAATATATATATATATATATATATATATATATATATATATATATATATATATTATTTATATGCACGCCTGTGTTGAAAATCTTGCACATCACTCACCCTCTCAATAAAACACCGTCCAACCAGCTGTGGGCAGTCTGTGTACTGCTCCAACTCCCTCAGGAAAGTTCTGAAACCATGAAAAATAATTCCATTATGAAATATGAGAGGAAATAAAGAAAAGAGTATTCATTCAAATGTTAGTTTTGGGGTGAATAACAACATTTGATTTTCCAAAACATTGATATCCTGAATGACAGACAGATGGCGCTCTTTCACCTCTTGTGGAAGTGGTAGATTTCTGGCATGTTGCCAAACAGAACCTCCTTTTTGTTCTGCAGGGGAGCAGGCATGAGGTGAACCATCGCCTGATTATCCATCTCAGAGGCATATCCCTGCAAACACACACAAGAAAATACAGGAACTTGTGGGTAATCGTAACAAAAAAAGATAAGATAAAACCTTATTTGTGGAGTAAATAATCACCTGTAATACACAGAGCAGCTCCTCAACGTACGCTCTCTCAGTTTCCAGCAGCTCGTTCATAACGTGCCTGCAGACAAAGAGAGAATAGAGAGATCGAATAAGATGCATGCAAAAAAAGCTCTATAGATAATTCTGTTTTTACTCAGTCCATCTTCAGTGTAATTCGATAACACAGGAAGAGCTGCAGCTGATCTCTCACCTCCTGAGCACGGCCAGATTCTCCTCCTCCTCTGACAGAGACGCATGTCTGCTGTTACCGTCTCCGTTCTGCAGAGGGCCGCTTCCCTGGAGAAGAAAAACAACAAAAAAACATCACATCAGTGTGATAAGCGACCGAAAGCACTGGTCACATACTGTATAAGGAAGTCCAAACAAACAAGAGTCATGACAGTTCTTTGCTCACTTTCTCACAGTTGTTCCCGGAGTCTATCTCTGAGTCGTTTTTCTCCAGCTGAGCTCTGTGTGCTGAGGAAACGGATGAGGAAAAAAAGTCAGAATTAATACAGAGTAACGCTTTGATTCCCCAGCATGCGTGTTTGCCATGTTTTTCCTGCGCTGTGCACTCCATTTACATCGCACCCGCTTTAGTCAATCCTCATTTTTCTACAGCGTGCCTCTCAGGCGTCCCCGATGCAGCGCTTAGCTTTAAGATCTATTTTTTATTTTAAATGCTCAACAATGTCACAGAAGAAAATGGAAAGAATCACACTTTTTGGGGTTAAGCCCTTAATAATTTGTTTTTTGTTTTTTGTCAGAGGTATACATTTTTGAAATTTTGCTTACTGTATTGTTGATTGAAATTCAGAAGTCTGTGTTTTTCTCAGAGAGATTAACAGAAGGAATCACTGTCCTAATAAATGCTTCACTTTCTCTTTATATATCAGCCATGATCCTAAAGTAATATATGAGTGAATTGCTCATGAGTATAAAGACGTTTCTTAATTTTTTTAAGTTACTAAACTCCTATACTTCAGTTATTAACCAAGGGATATAAGGCTGTGTAAAGAAGAGTATAAGAGTATATCAAAAACATGTAAATGTTGTGAGTAGCTTTAGGGTTGTACATATGAAGAGTATAAAATCTTCTAGAGATGTTTTGAAATATTCTGCATTGGATGAAAAGTTCCAGGTGTGGTGTTGTGTGCAGACTAACCGGGCGAGCTGAGAGGAGATTTGATGAAGGCTTCGGGTCTGGGGGCTACAGGCTGCACCGGTCTGGTCTGTTTGGCTGCGAGCTTCTTCAGGCTGATCCTTCTCTTGTCAAACATCTCCTGCATGGACGCCTGCTTCTGGAACACCTTCTCCACTTGGTCCTGATAAGATAAGATAAGATCATCCTTTATTTATCCCACAGCGGGGAAGTTTACATTGTAACAGCAGCATAGAGCAAAGATTGCAAACAAAAAGTGAACACAGTACAATACAATTAAAATAAAATAAAACACAAATTAAAAATGTAGAAAAAAATAGATAGATACACAGAAGGTTATCAGAGGAGGGTCAATACCAAAAGTTTTCTCTATGTTATGTAATATTTGTTAGCCAAAGCATCAGCGACCATATTTGTAGTTTCTATACTTAACATGGTATGCCTTTGGTATCAATTGTGTGGTGAATATTTGGCTTTACAACTTGTTTGGGATACATATTCAACATATTATTTGGGGGAAAACGTGCCAAAAATGTGTATAAACCTAGTTGCAAAAAATAATCTTTAATAGTCTGTTCACAATCCACCTGTCAGAGAGATGTCTTAAAATGCAACATGTATATTTTTCAGTCGTCTCACCCTTAACTGCTGATTGATCACAGCTTCATATTCGTCCCAGATGGTGCTGAGTTCCGTCAGTTGGTTCTGTTCTGCCTTCTCCAGGTAGCGCTCCAGCTCCTGCAGGGCTAACTCCGCCCCCTCGTGCGATTGACACTTGTCCACAGGCTGGGATGCCAGCAGGTAAATGCCATCATCCACCCATTTAGAAGCCTGAGGAAGACAGCAGAGGAGGAAAAAAAAAACTGTAAAAAACAAAATCTCCAAACATGGTAACAAAGAGAAGGAGTGTGTAGCTGTACTTGTCTTCTCACCCTTTCCAGACGATGGTGCAGCTCCATGGCTTTGAGGAGGTGGTCCTTCTTGGCCCGCAGGGAGCTGCTCACCGTCTCACTGATCGCTCTGAGCTCGCTGCATTTGGGCTGGATGGAGTCCTCAGCGTAGTGGGAGTTCTTAATCAGTTCTTCACCCTCACTAGCCAAAGACAAGGCTCTGTCCAGCACCTCCTGTGGAACAAGGCGGAGAGACAGTCATTACCTCCAATAGTTCCTGCACATGAAAATTGCATGAACTGTCCTATTGCAACTAATATGTATGTAAATATGAACTTGTGGACCCTGAGTGAGCCTGCAAAAGTTTCCATTAGGTGTCACTAAAAAGCCAAAAGTCATCTAGTCATGTGAAAAAATCTAAGCTTTTAATAATGTGATAGGACCCTCTACTTACACACACTCTCTCCTCATAAGTGCTGAGTTCACCGAAGATGTGGTCAGCGTGAGCCGGGCTGATTCCCACCTCAGAAAAGGTTGCGAGTTTCTCAGACACCTGATCCAGCAGAGCCCTCACCTGCAGCAGCAGAAATATACCACAGTTAAGTTTCTGAACTCTTAAAAGTGGAAACATGAGGACTTCAGGCTTCAGGCTCACCTCTCTGTAGCTGTGCTCAAAGTGACGCAGCTGGAGACACTGCTCCAGTTTGGTCTGATGTCTCACCCAGAACTCGTCGAAAGCTCGCTCCGTCTCGTCCAGCTGAGACAGCAGCCTGACAGAGGATTGACAAGAGAGAGAGAGAGAGAGAGAGAGAGAGAGAGAGAGAGAGAGAGAGAGAGAGAGAGAGAGAGAAACAAAACGGGCAGTTGAGGAGACCAGAAGCAGTTGGAAAATAATAGAAAATTCATGGATCCTGAGCAGAGTATTTGGATATTTTTACACTGATTACATCTGTGCGTGTTATGTAAAGCTAATGCTTGTTGACGTGCAAATCACAGCCCACAGTGTTGCTTAAAATATCACACTGACTGGCCTCAAAGCAAACTAGCTATTAAACTATTATTTCAATTATGATGATAGCAGAGAAGAGACAGGCCTGAAGAAAAAAACATACAACATCATGACTCAAAAGCAAGAGTCTACTGGTTTCTATCTGTTACTCATTAGAGTGAATTGGTACACTTTGAAATGCTTTTTTTCTTTAGATGGCAGAATTACTTCTTCAGTCAAGCTGGAAAAAATCTACAGTGTGAATACTAAGTTTGTCAATGTTACATATGATGTAGAAGTAGTCAAGATCTATTAATCAATAATATGAAAAATGATGATGATAAGTACCCATCACACTTATCATGTCAAAAAGAAACAGTACCTGCAGAGGAGCTTTATTAACTGTTAATAAGTGCATAATAAAGTATGTATACATTTTTATAAGGCATTAATATGAACCTAATAAAGTCTTAAGCATCTTATTAATTTTTATGACAGTGTATAAAGTGTTAATAAGTTTCTAATAAGAACCTATAAGTGTCTTATAAGACATAATAAATGAGTTAATTATGCCTATATTAACACTTATGCAGTCTTATTTATGTTAATAAGAATCTAATAAGGTCTTATAAGTGACTTATTACCTGTTATTAATGCTTATTACAAGCACCTTAATATAAAGTGTTACCAAAGAAACTCATGGAATTGTATTTTATTCCCCTGAAAAATAATTTAAAAAGCAAAGATCTTTCATTTTAATTTATATGATGTGGAAAAAAAGAAACCAGAAATGAACACTTAGACGATCTCAAAGTTTTGTGGATTTGCTTGCTAAATTGTTTCAATGATGATAAAATAATTTACTGAAATATTACATAATGACAGGCATGCTTTAGAGTCAGTTTATGAGTAATAAGACACTAGATGTGACACCTTTTTATTTCAGTGTTACACAAATATTGTGTCACTGTAACATCACACTGTAAACAAATCATCTTCAGTTGATGATGTTTATGAGTAAAGAATCATTTAAGTCTCTTCAGGGGAAAAACCCTGAGGTGTCATACATCTAGAACATTTATTAACATGTTTCTTCATTGAAAGTATTTCTCTTTTCTCAAGACAGTTGGACACAGTCTAGTTTTTTTTGTTGCTCTATCAGCTCCAGCTGTTGTACCTTTGCACTGTGGCCAGGTTCTCCAGCTCATCCTGGTTCATGTTGTGGTCCGGGTCTCTGACTACAGGCTCATTGATGCTCTCCAGCAGCCTGCTGCCCTGACCCTGGGCTACCAGCAGATCCTCCTACACACAGATTCAGTTATTTTTTTTCCCACACACACCATATACTGTAAACATATATATAATGTATCTAATGTAAATGGTGTTACCTTCATTCTATTTTTCTTGCTTGTGTGCGTGCTCAGAAGGAGGGTCGTGGCCTGGATTTCATTGGGGAGTTCGGTTTCAGCCAGTTCAGTCCCAAACAGCTGCAGAGTCTGTGCTGTTTTCTTCACCATCAATGCAAAACCCTCAATTGCCTGATGTGCAGGGGACACAACAGAAAACATCAAACAGGTATGGATACCATTTGATTTGAACTAATATCACACTTCATAATGAAGTTTAAAGTTCTAGTATCATGACAACCCTAATGCAGTGTACATACTGTGCGGTGAGAGATCCACTTGTCATGACAGTACTCCTGCGTTCCCCCGAGTTCGTGGGTCAGTTGTGTGCGGTCGATGTAAGAGTGCAGCTCAGTGACTGAGCTCAGCATGATCACGAAACATTTACACCCAAAACATTTACACCCTTATCTACTCACATGAACACACACTGTGAATATGAGACATTTTGACCTCCATTGGACGGGACATTGATCGGCTTTAAGGACAAGAAACCTCAGTGGGAGTGAGCTCAGTAGTAGAAAAGCTGTACTTTTGTTCACCATGCAGAATATTTGCAAGAAAACATATTTATATTTTCATTTCATTGTACAGTGTTCCCCTTTGTTATTTTTTTTGTATTATATATTTGCTTTAATACAGTGTATAGCTTCTGTACAGTTTATTTTAATTTACTTTATTTTTATTATTTTATTTGTACTTTTCTACTCTTTTTTTCTTATAAAGCTATTCTATTTTATATATAATTTAAACTTGTTTATAGAAGCTGACTCGGAGAAACGCACAAAAATTCCAATGCATTCTATTTGTATGATTTATCAATGATTCGTTACTTTTTATTCGACAATGTTTTCTTTTTTTTTCTCAGCCACTTTGAGGAGAGTCATTTAACTTTTGTATGTTTTAACTATGGCCTGAATAAAACACCATTTAGTTTCTGAAGACATGATGGTGGTCGCCATATTGGAAAATGCTATCTCAACCTAACTTTTGGACGATCTAGTAACAGGCAAAGAGGTGGAGCTGATGCAGGATTTACTGTAAGCCCCCTGGCAAACAGCTACAATACAGCCATCTCAACCATGACAATAATGATGCTAATTTATGCATATTATTTATATTTTTAAAGCATCATACCCATTACAGTTTTACGGATAAAGAAATGAGCTAATAAGACCAGAAACATTTTTGTAACTGGTTGTAAAGATGTTCATGTCTGCTGTTAAATTGAGACTCTCTTGGCTTTTACAGCAAACCTCAAGTGGTCACTTTAGGAACTTCAGCTTTTTTTCACTTTCACATTAGCTTCATTTTTAGATTTTATATACAAGGGGTTGCAGTTTAGTTTTTGCCCACTTAAGAGTCAAACTCTTCGTTAATATATCAGCTCAAAAGAA